AGCGCCCCTAAGACGAGGGCTCCCACTCACATGGAGTCCTGGAAGCCCTAGACTTGGGTATCTAAGAGAGACGGTGCAATGGGCTCCAGAGGAGGCCTGAGGGTGGGCTCACACCTGGGGGCTGGTGATGGTGACCCACTGTAGCCGGTCCTTGCTCATGAGGTATTCAAAAGCCAGTTCCAGGCGCACCTCACCCCGGCCCCGACCTGGGCTGCTTGTGCCTCCACTAGGCAGTGGCACCTGGGAGAGGAAGGGTAAGAATTAGGCTGAGCTCATTCTGACCGATGTGCCTCTCCCTGACCCACTCCAGCCCATTCCCGAAGCTCAAGGCTTGCCGGGCCTCCATCCCAAAGGTCTCCCCCTCCTACCCCAACTCACAGAGGAGGTGACCCGCCAGCACCGCATGCGGGTGACCCGAAAGGAGCCTTCACGGAGTTGCTGGCCAGGCAGGCGGAGCTGGAGGCTGAGCTCACTGTTGCCTGCGCTCACCACCACTGGACAGTCCTTCTCCGGGAAGTCAGCCACACAGGCATCGAAGCGCAAGTAGCCATAGTGCCGCAGCGTCTGGGCCAGCCGCAGGAACTGAAACCCAGTCAGCAGGCGGGACGGGTCAGGAGGGGAAGTGGGACAGCCCAGAGGAAGCAACCCCTTGGAGGGAGACAGGGAGGCAGGGCTCACCTCCTTCTTGGAGACCTTCTCTTGCAGTGATTTGAGCTGCCGGTGCTGCTCCTTGGTGACTAGGATCCACCCACGCTCAATGTCTGATACTGTCTGCAGCGGAGACAAGGGGTGGGGTGTTCGGGGCTCCCAGTCAGAGACCCAAAGAGTGTCCAGTTACCTCTGTCCAGCCTGACCCCTCACCCCACATTTGAGCAAGCTCTTCGCAGTTGAGTCCTTGACCATATCAGCTTACAAAGCAGGGAGAGTAGAAGTTGTGCCAGATGCCCTGAGAGTATTCTAGAAACTTCCCCATGAACTGGCAGTAAAGATACGAAAGTTTTCTTGGCAGAGGGACACCAGAGCCATTTTCAGGGAAAGGGTTCTGAGGCACCTCCAAGCTCACCTGAGCATAAAGCAGGTTCAGGCCAACCCGGTTCTCCATGACATCGTCATCATAGGCAGAGTCCCAATAACTGTGAGGCCAAGGGGTGGAAAGGGGTAATGGGGCTAAGCTGGGGGAAGGCAAGAGGCAGAATGGAAAAGGGGCAAAACCGGAGCAATCTGGAACTATGGAGCTAATGGTGATACAGTTGGAGGAAGCTTGGGAGGCCTGGTAGAAACACCCAGCACTACCCCCTTGTCCAGATTATTCTGTCTCAATACGTGGCCCCATAATCCAGTCCAGCACCCTCTCCCTCCTCCAAGCCCAGCCCTGACCTCTTCCTTAGCATAATCTTATACTCTTGACTCCGAAGACTGGCAACAGACACATAAGGCAGCTCAAACTCTTGCAACTTCCGTACAACTATGGGTTTAAAAAAAAAGAAAAGAAAAAGAAAATGTCATGAAACTCAGGGGAGGGAAATCAAGCGAGAAGCCCTGGGGAAATGCCACATTCTTGGGGGAGACAGGCAAGTTCACTAGTGGAAACAGAGGGAAGCTGTAAAGTCCAGACAAACTCACACGAAAAGGCTCCATCCTCTTTTTCTCGAACTAGAAAGAGACTAAAGTATCCGATCAAGTCATCTGGAAGATCCAGCTTTGCAGCCACAGCCTAGGAATAAGGAAGGAAATACAGCTCATCATGCTGGATGGTTCCAATCACCCCAAGCCTGGGAACCTGGGGTGCAGGGGGAGGAGGAGCAGTGCAGAACAAGCGCCTCACCTCCAGGACATCCTCAGTCTGATCTGAAGTTAGCACATTGACCAGAACTTTCTGCCCGTTGCTAAGCAGCACTTCCAAGGAGACCTCTTCTGTTGGGACCTGCTGTGTCTCCTGGTTGTGAGCATACACGGGAATGGGAGGCACCTTGTTAACAACATGCCCAGCGTCCAGCTCTGACCCTTCCCAACTATGTTGTATTGTAGGTCCCTCTGGTGACTTTATTCTCAGCTGTTTAATTATAGACTGGGTTTCCTTGATTTCACTGGTACAGCAGAAGCCCCATTCCATACAGAAAGGTGCCAGGATGGCTCCTCTGTACCCACCTCATTAAAATGATGTGGCCCTGCAGGAAGGTGCTTCCCTTAAAACTTGGTCCCATCCAAAGCCTTACCTGTTGTGCCCGACGCAAGAAACTATTGAAGGTCTCACTGCTCCCAAGCAACGGGTCTTGCCGAACTGTGGGGACAAGAGAATGATGTTCTAGTAACTTATGATTCCCTCTTGGATCCCCCCAGTTCTCTTTGTGGCAGGCCCCCCAGGTCCCCTTTCCTGGGCTGATGGTGGCTTGTCACATCTCCCAACTGGCCTCACCTCACTCGCTGTTTGCATAAATTCTTCACCTGCCCCACCCTTGGCTACCATCTAGTTGAGTCCAGTCTATAGAACCAGGGAAAAATAATGTTCATCTAAAGCACATCAGATACAAGTTAAGTTCTCCCCACCGATCGAAACTGCTTTAAGACTAGTTAGTGCTATATTAGTATTTCTCATAGATGTCAGTGCCCAAATTGCTTTGCTGGTACCTAGATACCACAGCATCCTTGCATGCTATTTACTTTTGCTAATTAAATAATAGATAAAACAGTAGGCTTCCCAGATCTACAGATTCCTTCAGGACCTTCTACAAAATCAGCTGTTTTGAGTCTCTCTCCATAGTCCTCAACAGAGTCAGCCTAAAGTTCCCTCCAACCACTCACCAGCTTGCATGTACTTCTCTAACTGCTCTCTCCTCTGTTCTACCTCAGCGGGTGTCAGAGAGAAAAGCTTCTTTGGGGGAAATGCAGGAAGCACATTGGCCCCATATTCCTTCCGAAGCTATTTGGAGAAAGAGATACAACTCTTCACATAAACATAGCAAATGAGAAGAGGCAATCGACATTCATAATGTTCTCTTGGGCTCCCCTTCCCTTTCCTTAGTCCCTGCGCCCCTATCTACCCTGGTCATCCAGGAAATCATTCCTTTGGCAGGGGCAGCATCCCAAGGGAGCCGTTCCTCTGTCCTAGATATATGTTTTTTCCAATCTTACAGTGTACAGGTCTGTTCCTCCACAGTGTGGGAAGGGTTTGTATAGAGCCAGGGCCTAGGGAGACCCTTGCTTATCTAGCAAAGCTGTGTTCATTGAACCCTCATAGGAAGCAAAAGGCTTTGTAAGGAAAGTTTATGTGCACAGTTAAGTAATAGCTAAATATATTCACGAAGTATTTTAGGACTTAAAGGGACTTTGCAGACCAATGACTCCATTTTTCAGTTGCAGAAGCTGAGGCCCAAAGAAATCAGGTAACTTGCTCAGGGTTGCACAACTAGTTATCAGTAAAACCAGGACTCTGTACCGAGTTAAATACAGAGCTCAGAATCTGGTGAGGAGAACAGAGAAACATTACATCACAGACACATAAGGATAGCTGGAACAGCTACACCCGCTCAGGTGAGTCAAGGAACACAGACAGAAATTGGTGAATGGTTTGTATCAATATGAGCAGGAAAAAGAATTTCAAGTTGCAGCTCAGATGACAGAAGGAAAGTGCTTTGGCAGCTTAGGGGGGAGGGTTGTCGTTTTCTCCATGCACAGGCACAGGCAGTGTACAGGCTGTGTAAGATGGGGACAGAGAAGAAAGGAGGGAGTATGTGAGTATACGGAGGAGCAGTTAGGGGCAGACATTAAGCTCCCTGGGAGTTCCCCGGAAATGTCAGACGATAAGATAAAGCACCAAATCCTTCCCTGTGGCAGTGATTAAAGGGGAACTACAGCCTACGAGAAAGCGACGGGGAGGGAAATGGAGACACTGATGCCCAGGTGTAGAAAAGGGCTTGAAGCTGCCTCAAGGCAGGGGTGCTAGTCCCACCTGCTCGTGCAGCCCCAGGAGTTGGCTGTAGCGCACCCGACAGTGCAGGACTCCATTCACGTGAATGTTATAGGCCTGAGAACACAAAAGCAGGCAAGCAGTTTAGGGTCGCGGTCTTGTTTAGGATCGCTCGCCTCGCTCGCCATTTTGGCGGGGCTTGAGAACCCTGGCCGGAAGTTGCCTGCCACAGCTCCGCCTGAGCAACGCGCCGGGATCTTCCAAAGGTGGCCAGCCGATTTTCCCCAGAGCCAGGTCCCAAAGCAGGAGGACCAGTCGGGGAAAACCCGGGCGCTCAGGCTGCAGTCTTCCTCCCCAAGAGGCCAGGGACGCCCACCAGAGTAGCCGCGGCCCAGCCGGGGGAGGCGATGCGGCCAAACAAAGGACCTACAGGAGCTGGGGCGACCTTTGGATGAATCTGAGACGTAATATAAGCTCCCAGCGAGGCCGTCGGGACTCGGCGGCCTGTCACCAGGCCCGAAAGGTGGCGGCCAGACTTCGGAGGCCGCTCGGAGAGGGCTCCGGCCCGTTATCCCCGCCCCTACCCGGCCGGGCTCCGGCCGCTCCTCACCACGTAGGCGGAGCCGCCGCTGTCCCCGCTGCGGGACTCGGTTTCAGGAATGGAAAAGTGCATGTTCCCTGCGGCAGGGCCCGGCCGGGTCCGGACTCTGAGGGCCACAGCGGCTTTGCACGCTCGCCTCCGCTCCTCAGCACGTCCCCGCAGCCTCGCTCGCCATTTTGGGGGGGGGGGGGGGGACTTGCGATCAGAGGTGGGAAGGGCTGGGGAAGTCCGCTCTGGGGCGCAGCGCCCCCGGCATCCTGGGAACTGTAGTCTAAAGGGCAAGAGCCGACTGCCGGGATTGGGAGCCCAAAGCTGAAAAGGCCCTTATCGCGACCCGTAGCCAGGGGCAGAGCCCCAGAGCACTCCGGGGCTTGTAGTCCGGTTGGGGCTGCGCGCCGAGGCTGTCGGCCCAGGGGGCGCTTGTAGTCCCTGTGACCCAGGCGGGCGGAGCCCAGGACGGAGGATGATGGCTGCCGTGGCCGTGGTTGTTCGCGAGGGTGAGTGAAGGGCCGGGCACACAAACAGGTACGCGAGCGGACGGGCCTCGGACGGCTACTGATGGGCCCTGAGTACCTCTGGGCCCTGTCGTTCGGTTCCCGCGCCACGCCGGAGTCTGGTCCGCACTGCCTCGGGCGCACTCCGTGCCGCGTACCGGCTTGTTCCTCCGGGAGGTGTGCGTGCTTCTTCCTTCCCCCGCCCCCCTTCCCTTTGATCCTGCCGCGCACTGCGTCCCCCACGCCGATCCCCGGCTCACCTCCCGCCTGGTGGCGACCCGTGGTCATGCAGACCCAGCAGCCAGCAGCGCCGAATACGTGTCCCCGCAAACCCTCCCGGAGCCTCTCTGGTTCACTTTGTGCCCTGTTTTCTGATGCAGACTCGGGATCTGGGATGAAGGCGGAGCTTGTTCCTCGGCCTGGGGTAAGTGCGGGTGCCCTCCCTAGCCGCCTGTCAGGCAGTACGCAGGAGGCCGTGTCAACTTCGTTCCGACCCAATCTTCATCCCCGTTTCACTTTATTTCTTGGTAAAGTCAAGAGATTTTACAGAGCTTTTTCAGCCCTAATGGTAATGTGACTGTGATCTACAGGAGAAACTTCGATCCCTGTGGGCTCTAAGCTCGTAACAGGTAGCTTCTGAGACTTAGGAAGGATTAGGGATCCTGTGGGAGACTAGTAAGTATCCAGTAGTGTTTATTCATTTTTGGAATTGTTGGGGAAGGTTAGTGTTCTATGTCTGTGTCTTAGGCAGGGGGGAGGGAGATGACCCAAGAAGAAAAGCTGCAACTTCGGAAGGAAAAGAAACAGCAGAAGAAGAAACGGAAGGAGGAAAAGGGGGCAGAACCAGAAACTGGCTCTGCTGTATCTGCAGCCCAATGTCAAGGTGCGGGGGCTTTTTTAAAGGGCCGGGGTGTGGAGCTGGTAAAGGGATGTGGTGGGAGAGAAGAGGGGGAGACAGGACAAAGTTGGTTTGCACAAGTAAAAAGGGAAAAAGTTTAGATAAACAGGAAAAGAAGCTTTGGTTGGGGCATAGCTATTACCTACCTAGGGCTTGGGCACCTCTTCCTTCTACCTTCAGCAGGCCCGACCAAAGACCTGCCTGGACTGGACAGTCAGTTGGGCAGTGCCAAGGAGAAAGTTCCAGCAGGTCGGAGTAAGGCTGAACTTCGAGCTGAAAGGCGGGCCAAGCAGGAGGCTGAGCGGGCCCTGAAGCAGGCAAGAAAAGGGGACCAAGGAGGGCCACCTCCTCAGGCCTGCCCCAGCACAGCTGGAGAAACCCCCTCAGGTATGTTCACTTCAAGACCTCTGTTGATTCAAATGCCTATGTTAGCTCAGGCTTCCCCACAGTAAAACAGCTCCCAATTTTCACCTTGGTTCCCAGAGTTCACAATTCTCTCCTTAACCTCATCCTACCCCTGTTTCTTTTTCTACTTTTTTTTCCTGTTTTTTTCCATCTCTCTCTCAAATCTTTCTTGATGTCCCTTATGCCCTGAAAGCAGATTTCTCATTATCACCTACAGTGTCTTGAAAACACGATTGTTATCTTCTAGGAGTGAAGCGTCTACCCGAGCATAGTCAGGTTGATGACCCCACGCTTCTGAGGAGGCTTGTTAAAAAACCAGAACGACAGCAGGTAGGAAGTGGGTTTGGTGTGTGGCCAGAAAGAGCCTAGGGAGATGGAATAGAGGGAGGAAAGGTGCTCGGGGCGAAGTGAGACCCGGAAAAGGATGGGTATTTGGCTCACCATCTTCTTCCTTCCCAGCATTATCCCACAGTTTTAAATTCTGGGCCCTTGGTTCTGTTCCCCTGTTTTGTCAAGGTTCCTACACGAAAGGATTATGGATCCAAAGTCAGTCTCTTCTCCCATCTACCCCAGTACAGCAGACAAAACTCTCTAACCCAGTTTATGAGGTAGGAGCTTATGAAATTGTCATAACTTTTAAGCATGAGGAGCTTTAGTAATTCTGTTTGAAAGTGACTGGAAACTTGAGGTTGGATCTGTGGAAAGAAGCATGAACACAAGGCGTGCTTCTTCAAATGGGGGTGTCTGTGCGAGTGAAGGAGGTTCCTTTTCATCAGGGGAAGGTGGGCAGTAGGTGCTCAAGTTCCCTTGCAAAGTGTGTGACACCGCCATCCCATCAGCATCCCATCCTCTGTGATCCACCCAGCCATGGTGCGACTCGGCCTGCAGTACTCCCAGGGCCTGGTCAGTGGCTCCAATGCCCGGTGCATTGCCTTGCTTCGTGCCTTGCAGCAGGTATGTCCCATCTTGTTACCTCTTATGATCCAGCCTCGCCTTCCCCAACGCTACCCCGGCTTCTCTCACCCAGAGTAATCTCTGGGGGGAAGAGGGAATGACTCCACCCTCAGAAGACTTTCCTCAGAGAAGCTTACCCTGTCCCCCTTTCAGAGACTTTTGTTAGGGCGCATTTTGCTGATCAACTTGTGTACCCTACAGGTGATTCAGGATTACACCACACCTCCCAGTGAAGAACTGTCAAGGGACCTAGTGAATAAACTAAAGCCCTACTTCAGGTAAGGATGATCACTGCACATCCACTCCCACCCCACCTTGCTCAGTCCTTTTCTTAGACCCTTTTTCTTTTTCTTTTTTTCAAAGCATAAAGGGTTTTTTTTTATTATGTGTAACACAAAGTTATTTAAGTCAATAAATTTTCAAGGAATTTCACAAGTTCTGATTCTTTCCACTGCCAATCACCTTAGTTCCTCCAAACTCATAATCTTCAAGATAAAAAACCCTTTCAGAAAGAAGTTGTCATGTGAGTCAGCCTACAATTCTTTTAGTTAGGCTTCTTTGATCTCCAGTGAAATGTGGACACACTTCAAAATTCCCCACCTGTAATCTTTGGGATCCAATTTCCTCAAGCAGTTTACTTTAGGACCATGTTTAGGGTCAGGAGATGGATCTGCCTGGTTCTGAATTTGACACCCTAGAAAATTAGTATTAGTTACTATTGAGGACTGTCAAATTGAACAGTATGAGAAACTATAGGAATACTGTATCAGTAGAAATACCAGGTCTAACATGCACAAAGCCAAGAAAACTAACGATGCCAAATACTGAATTTATATTGCACTTGGAGCCTTTTTCTTGCTCTTCTACCTGTATTTTCATTTTTCTGTCTTCTCTTTAAAAAAAATGTTTTTAAATGTGAAAGCTTTGTGAGCTGTGAAGAGTTGCACAGATGCAAGGTGTTGTTTTTGTAGCTTCCTGACTCAGTGCCGTCCCCTGTCAGCGAGCATGTACAACGCCATCAAGTTCCTTAACAAGGAGATTACGGGTGTGAGCAGCTCCAAGCGGGAAGAGGAGGTGATGAGTATGAGGAATGAGCGAGGCATGCACCTGGGGGATAGAGCTGGAAACATGTTCGGGGCTCCCAGAAGGGGCAACTCTCTGGTCTGCCTGGTCAAGGGTTGAGGTGGTGGGTCTGTCTGACCTGGGCCCCTTTTAGGCTTGTCATTATATGCATATTCAAGCATCCAGCATGATAATCAAAGGGTTGTGTCTGTTTCTTGTTCCATAAGTATCTTGCTCCATTTAGGCCAAGTCAGAACTTCGAGCAGCCATCGATCTATATGTGCAAGAGAAGATTGTGCTTGCAGCTCAGGCAATCTCACGCTTTGCTTATGAGAAGATCAGTAATGGAGATGTAATCCTGGTATATGGATGGTATGGGCCAGACCCTGTGACTGAGAAAATTGGGGAGTGAAATGATTTGAAGAAGGAACTGCCTCTTTGCCCTTTAGGAATGAGCTGACCATCAGTCAGTGACATCTATAACTGAATCCTCCTCTCCATTCACTCTAGCTCATCTCTGGTATCACGAATTCTTCAGGAGGCTTGGGCTAAGGGCCGGCGGTTTCGGGTGGTAGTGGTGGACAGCCGGCCACGGCTGGAGGGAAAGCACACACTACGTTTTCTGGTCCGTGCTGGGGTCCCTGCCTCCTACCTGCTGATTCCTGCAGCTTCCTATGTGCTCCCAGAGGTGAGGGCAGAGGAAAAGAACTCCAAAGTTGGAGTAAAAGGGTATAGTAGTATAGACATAGTCTCGCCTTCCCAACGTTGCAATTGTCTAGAAATACTAGAATTATACAACTGTGTTTATATTTAGTAGGAGAAGCATCTACAGCACGTTATACAGCATGTCTACCTATTGCAAGAACCTTATATAAAACTAGTAGCCGCTGAGAGGGAACAGGACAAAAGAGTTTAGTTTTCCTGTGGGTGGTGTGGTGAGTCAACGGTCAGGTGTTTTCCAAGAGCCTTTATTAAGATTTGTTACCCATTGCCTTAATATTGCTGTCCTGGGTAAGAGTTGGGAACCTTATTCTGCATTGGTCACACATGACATTTTTTTTCCTCCTCTCTACTCTCCAAAATAGGTTTCTAAGGTGCTGTTGGGAGCTCATGCACTCCTGGCCAACGGGTCTGTGATGTCACGGGTAGGGACAGCACAGCTGGCCCTGGTGGCACGGGCCCATAATGTGCCAGTGCTGGTCTGCTGTGAAACATACAAGTTTTGTGAGCGTGTGCAGACTGATGCCTTTGTCTCTAATGAGCTAGGTAAGGAGGCCCAGGAGGGCAGGAGAGAAGGTTCCAGGGACCTGAGAAGATTTGGGAGGGAGAGGGGAGGTTGAAGTACAACTTATTTTTTCTTTTTATTTTTTTTATAAATTTATTTTATTTATTTATTTTTGGCTGCGTTGGGTCTTCGTTGCTGTGCGCGAGCTTTCTCTAGTTGCGGCGAGTGGGGAGTCACTCTTCATTGCAGTGCGCGGGCTTCTCACTGCGGACACGGGCTCTAGGTGTGCAGACTTCAGTAGTTGTGGCTCACGGCCTCTAGAGCGCAGGCGCAGTAGTTGTGGCGCACGGGCTTAGTTGCTCCGCAGCATGTGGGATCTTCCTGGACCAGGGCTCGAACCTATGTCCCCTGCATTGGCAGGTGGATTCTTAACCACCGTGCCACAAGGGAAGCCCACAGCTTATTTTTTAAAAGTACATAAAAGGGTACACCTCCCATTGCAGATGACCCTGACGATCTGCTGTGTGAGCGAGGAGAACGTGTGGCCCTGGCTGACTGGCAGAACCACTCGTCCCTACGGTTGTTGAATCTGGTCTATGATGTGACCCCCCCAGAACTGGTGGATCTGGTGATCACGGAGCTGGGCATGATCCCTTGCAGTTCTGTACCTGTTGTGCTGCGAGTCAAGAGTAGTGACCAGTGAGTGGGTGAACACAGGGTCAATAAATGACATACTCCCTACACTTAGCAACTCTGCTGCCTTTTATCTCTTTTAGCATTGCCACCGCTTAGGTTAGGAGTCCAGACTGTCCAGCCCCTCTTAGCACCTGCTACCAACCTCCATGCCAGTGCTTTGGGGCCAAAGTGAAGGTCAGTATGGAGACCATAAACTATCCAAGTCATCAGCCATTTATTGAGTATCTATGTGCCATACACTGAGCTAGATATGAGGAAGAGTATAATAAGGACAAATAAGAGTCCTATCCTTAGTATTTTAGTATTATTATTACATTAATATTTAAGTTAAACCAATATATTGATATTTACATTAAATAGTTACACATTAATATATTAATATTTTGTATCCTTAGTATTGAGTATTTACTGTGTGTCATAAACTGTTGTAGTCCCGTTTTATCCATTTAGGAAGATTAATACCACTCTATGAAGTGCGATTTTATAGATGAGATAACTGGGGCACAGAGAGGTTAAGTTACTTGCCCAAGGTAACACTAACTAAACCGGCATGTGATCTCCGGCATTCTGGATCTAGAGACTGTGCCCGTAATTTTTACGCTATCTGCCATTAAGGAGTACTCATCATGATGGAGGAAGACAGGTGACATCTACAGTATGAGATACATTCTACTAGTAGTATGAACAGAGTTCATTGGAAGCAACCCAGGATGTTGCCAGGAGATCTAGTGAGGTTGGAGAAGACTTCACAGGTAACATCTGACCTAGTCCTTGAAGGATAAGAAGTTTCCCAGTTGGAAAAGAATGAGAACGCAGGTGAACAGAGGAAATAACTTAGACTACAGAATAGGCCTTAAAATGACTGGCCAATTCCAAAGTGTCAAGTAGTGTGGTAAAGCTAGAACCTCGGCTTATGTGGATAATTAGTGATACAGCTGCTAACGTAGGTTGGATTGGGTCCAGATTGTGAGAGTCTAACCATTGTGGTTAGCCTAAAAAATACGTTAGAGTCATCCATTTTGTGTGTGTGTGCGTGTGTATGTATGTGTGTGTATGTTTTATTGAAAAATTTCAAGCAGCATAGAAGTACAGTGAACTATACAAAGAATCCCCATCACCAAATGTAGTAATTATCAAGATTCGCCACATATGCTTTTTTTGTTTCCCTTGTTTTCCTTGCTGAAGTTGTATTAGAGCAAATCCCAGTCATTATATCGTTTTACTCCTCCAAACGTCATTATGTCTCTAAAAAATATGGAAGCTTACCATGTCATTACACTTATTAAACTCTTCCTTATTGTCCAAGCCATAATCAAATTTCCTTGATTGTCTCAAAAGCAGCTTTTTACTGTTGAATCAGGATCCAAACAAATCCATATATTACATGTCGTTATTTTGTCTTAAATTTTTTGTAATCAAAAGCAGTCTCTCCAACCCCGCCCCTTCTTTTCTCATGACATAGACTTGTGCCAGGAACCAGGTTGAGTATGTTTCATACTGCCTTGCCATCAGGTTGGTTGGTCCATTTTCAGTGATGAAAGGGTCCAGGTGTTTTAAAGTTTCCCAACAAACTTTGATTTAGTGGTTTCATCCACTTTTATTGTTGCCTGAATTATTTCATTAGAGGATGCAACATGGTAAATTTTTTTTTCCTAATTACATCATTCCATACGTACTAGCTAATAATCTTCTATAAAGAACTCCCTCTCATCAGTTACTATTCTGAATTACAGTCCATACTGGAAAGGCAAGATAAATGTTTAATTTTTTCCTTTGAATTGCCAGTTTTCAGGATTGATCACTGGTTACTTCCAGTGGCATACAATGAGAAGTTGTTGAATTTTTGGCTTTCTCTCTATAAAGATTATGATGAATTCATGTTTTTTTACATATTGAGCATACCACTTAATCATCAAAATTAAGCAGAGGTTCAACAGGGTCAGCTCTGTGCTTTAGCTGGTAGCTGGTAGAGATTAGAGGCAGAGAACCAGATCAATTAAAAAGATACTGCCTATCAATCAAAATCACAAATGCACCTAAACTTTGGTCCAGCAATTCTGCTTCTAGGAACTTAATGCTAGCCATATAGTTGCACATTTGAAGTAGCTTAGATACAGAGTTATTTATAGCAGCATTGTTTATAATAGCAAAAGACTGGAAACCACCTGGATATCCATTCATAATAAGGGCTAATTATTACTACATTCATATAATTACATACTAAGCAATCATAACAAAGAATAAGGAAGGTTTTTATATAGAGAAATGGAATAGTCTCCAAGGTACACTCAAAAGAAGTAAGGTGCAGGACAGTGTGTGTAGTTGCTGTTTGAATTAAAAAGGGGAAAGATTCCTTGGCTGGGGAACTAGATCCCACATGCGCAGCGTGGCCAAAAGTTTAAAAAAAAAAGGTGTGTGTGTGTGGGGGGGGGGGGGAGATATATATGTATTTGCATGTGTATAAATACAGAAAGTATCTTGGACCTGTAACAAGAAAACTGCCTGGGTGGATGTGGTCTGGGAGGCTGGAGACAGGTGAAAGGTACTCTTCACTTTATATCCTATGTATCATTTGAATTTTCAGCCATGTCAATGTCTTATCCCCAAAATAAATACAATTATTAGTATAAAAAAGATTTTGCTTTAGGGGAAGTCAAAGATAGTCTAATCTGAGGCAACAGGAATGGAGAAGAGTCAGAGATTTGTTCATTACAGAAATAAATGCTTGAAAAAAAATTTTAATAGAAAAATAAATGCTTGAAGTTGTCAAGTTGAGAGCTGTTCATCGGACAAGCATTGTAGATACCCCGTATTAGAGGAACTGCAGCCTCGACTGCACCCGATTTTGCACTCTCAGAAAGGAGTCAGTCCTAAGCCACAGCGCAGCCTTAGCTGTCTTTAGGCCACTTAGGGCAAATGGGACGGGAGCCCCCCTTGCTCTAGATTTTAAATCTTAGCTAGCTTCTCCCATGCTTTTCTTAAATGTTTTGTGTAACCACGGTAATTTAATGGATGAGATTATCTGGGAAGAGAAAGATTGGTTTACCCCACCCTTTCCTGTTTGTTTATACATCCTGAACTCCACTATTCGGTGTGTGGAGACCTGTGAGATTTACACAGCTTTAAATGCCTCAGGAAAGGGCGGAAGTTTGTTACATTCTTTCTCCAGCAGCATCCTACTTCCCAGGGAGGGAGTGGGGCAAGGCCTACGACCAAGGGGAGGGTCCAAGCCCGAGGATCACTTGAGTAGAGCGTCCCCATGCCAGGCTTTTCTACTGCTCTTCCCTTTCACTGTGTTTCCGTCTTGGGTCCATCCTTGACTTCACTAGTGGCTGGATCTGCTGGGGGCTGCCCTGAGGGGGAAGCCGGAGTCGTCCCCCGAGGCAAGGATTCCTTTGTCTCCCAGTCTCCGGCTCGACGGCGGGGCTGCAGGTCAATATTCTCAAGTCAGCCCGGCCCTGCCCGCCACAGGCCGGTAGTGTCGACAGAAAGCCAGGATTCCGCGCTCGGGAGCGACACTCAGGCCTGGGTACTCGCACTGTCGAGGCTCGAGTAGAAGCCGCGTGGGAACCGGCGGGGGCGCGACGACTATCACCGCGCAGGCGTCAGCTCCCTTCGGGACACTGCAATTCCCATAAGGCTGTGCAGCGGCGTCCCCTGCGCCGCCAAGGCCCGGGAGCTGCGCCCGCTGCGACAGGGCTCGGGGACGCTCGCCGCACTGCATTATGGGATACATAGTCTAATAGAAAACGTCCTGGGGCACAAACTCCCAACCAAGCCCACGTGTTTACCTTGTACACGGGGGGGAGGGGGGTCGTCAATGAAGAGTAGCTACCAGGTTGCGTCATAAAACGGCGACCAGACAGGCGGCGCCATCTTCGAACTTGGACTTCCGGAAGGACTTTGGTGAGGGTGAGTGTACCACAGCGGGATGTGCGGGGCCCCACGATTACTACCCCCCCACCCCACTTCTTTTTCGGTAGCACTAAGATATTGGGAACCAACTCCGGCTCCGCTTTTCCGCCTCTGCACAGCATCGCGACCTCCAGCCCCTGAACTCCTCCGGAAACCGTCGTGGTCCCCACCTCCCTAACCCACGGTGGCAACCGTGCATCCCCCATCTCTGCTCTCCTCGGGTCTCGCCTTCTTTCCCCACGCGGTGTCTGTAACACCTCGTCCTGTGTCCCGGCCGCGGCGCTGCCTACATTGCAACCCTCGGACTCTGCGAACCTACCGTAGTCCTCAGCCTTACGAAACTCAGGGCTCGCTTCCCGAACAGGCTAGTGGTGAAAGCTACCCGACGCCCAGGACTGAGAAAGGGCAGGCGGTCACCCCTAGAGAGGTAGCGGGTCGGTCTTTTCATTCTGCTGTGTTCCAGCCTCTTCCTCGGTGAGGCTCTTCTAACCCTGGGGGTTGTGCCCCGCGCGCTGCAACCTCATTGGCGCAGCCAGGGGCCAGTTATGTTTCCCAATCTAGTCCTTTTATCCCGCAGCAACTTGGCTTTCTGTTGGGGAAGGCAGAGGTGGTGACTTCAGCTTCACCCGTGGTAACTCACTTTGTTAGAGGGGTGCAGGGTATGGCCAAGGCTTATAGCCCCAGGGGCATATTGTTACACAAATCTGTCATTCCTGTGCCTTCGTCTCTTTTGGCCACCCCTTCTTATCAACTGTAGTATTGTTTTCTTAGTAATTTTCTTTAAATTGATTTAATTTTAAGATTTAAGTGTTTAGTCTTGATCTAAACAATGTAGATGAAACCATGGGTTTCATGGACTAGTTATAGTTTTCTTTTTATATATACAAGTTAAAATAAAAACACAATTAGTCAAATAAAATCGTTCATTTTTGTATCTCAGAAATCATCTTGCATACCACCAGTTGTACCATAGGAACACTTTGGGAGACAATGTATTAGACCAAACAGTGTGTGTAAAGTAACTCCATACTTGAGGAGCAGTGTTATCTAATCATTTTCCACATCTGGGGAGATCAGGCTGGCAGCCTTGGAGCAGCATGGGAACCAGAAAAGTTGGGGTGCCGATGCAAAATTTTATAAACTCTGGTACACATTTACTAAACATCCTTTACTTGTGCCCAGGATTTGCATTGTGTAGTCAAAAATGGAAATTAACCACCAATGCCATGCCTTCTATGAGAAGTGAATCCTTACAGAGATTTTTGTACCTTGAGAAGTTAGTTGTTCAATCAACAAAGGTTAATTATTGTGCTTACCACGTACCAGGTTCTAGATACAATAGTGAGTCAGATAGACAAGAGCCCTATCTCATGAAACTTTTAAGGAAGATAGATATGGAATAAGTAAATACCCGTATCTCTTATGATAAGAAAATTCCAGACGGGCTAAAGAGCTACATGTAAAATCCAAAACTAGAAAAATTATTAGAAGAAAATAAAAGAAGATATCTTATATTCTGATATATCAGTGGGGTAGGAAATGCCTTTTTAAGACACAAACAGGGGAATTCCCTGGTGGTCCAGTGGTTAGGACTCTGCACTTCCACGGCAGGGGGTACGGGTTCGATCCCTGGTCAGGGAACTAAGATCCCCGCATCATGCAACATGGCCAAAAAAAAAAGACACAAACAGAAGCCATAAAGGAGAAGACTGAGAAATTTAACTCATAAAATTTAACTTCAGTTTAGCAAGAAGCATAAGCAAAGTTTTTTTAAAAGGTAGATACAGAGAGAAAATATTTGCAACATAAATAACTGCACAGATAAATAAGGAATGATCAATTTGTCTTATAGAAATATGGACAAATTCTGTGTATCGGCAATTCATAAAAGACAGATGTCCAACATATAAAAAGAAGTTGCTAATCTCAATTATTACCAGGACAATGCAAATAAATAAAGTAGGGAAGAATTCTTTCACCCATCAGACTGGCAAAAATCAAAGATTGACAAGGGGTGGTAAAATGGGTATACCCATTTTTACAGTTAGTAAGAGTATAAATTGCTTTTCACCTTGGTGACCTGTTTGGCAGTATCTATTAAATTTTGGAATGTGTATACCCTTTAACCCAGTACAGTAATTCCACTTCAGATGATTATTCTAGAAAAATAATTTCTCATTAATGAAGAGATCTATACTAGAATATTCACTGCAGTATTATTTGTAATAGTATTATAATCCAATTGTCCATTAAATGGGAAATACCCAAATAAACTATAATCCTATGGAACACCATATAGTAACTAAGAAGAATGAAAAAGATGTATGTGGAAAAATGATACGGAAAAATCTTTAAGACATGTAGAAATTCTCTTAACTGATTCCATTTAACTAGCTC